AAACGTAGAATTGATACCTAAGTGACTTCTTTCAACTTTAAGCACCAAGGAATATTTGCCATGGAAAGCGAAACTTTCATGAAGGATTTTCTAAAGAAAACTTGCAATGTTTATGCAAAACTTATCAATTTTAAAATTTATAAATTTTAAAATAATTTATAAAATCTTTTCAGATTTTATATTTACAGAAGAAAATATTTAAGTAAATGATAATTCGTATTCTGAATATAAAGTTAAATGATTTTTTACTAATTGACATGAATATATTTTGTTATTATTAATTCTTAAAAAAAAAAAAAAAAAAAAAAGAGTAGATCCCCCCCCCCTCCTCCAAGACTCAGCTTTCGTTTATCATTCTGATTCTTGAATTTCTGACCTTGGGTAGGATTCAACGTTTTGTAAAACTTCGATGATTCGTTGAAAAATTATTCATAATTCACCTTAACTGCATTTATATTGAGTATAAAATGTTTTGACATTTAGCGAGTTAATTGAAGGTCTGAAGCTGCTTTTGTATTGACTTGATCAACTAGAAATAATTATTACGTCATAACCGATTACAGGTGAAGAAATCGTTTTATTTTCTTGCTGAATATTTTCTGACTCTCTTTCTTGATATGTACCTCAACATCCTGTTCGACAAGAATTTTAATCGCTGTTCGCCACAGCTGTCATGATGATCATTGCCGTTTCTGTGCTGCCTTTGTCTTCTTTTGTTCATGACCACCTATTAGACGACAAGCCCTCCATAATTCTATCGTTTTATTGTGTAAGAGGGAACTGAGTAGGCAGGTAACATATCCTTAAAAAAGTGTATTCGGTGTCTGTAGTCCATGGTTCGTTAACACCACTATTTTGCAGGTCTGACAGCAATGACTGTGTTAAGTGCAATCTCAGCCATTCACTCGGTCTTCAAAGAACTGGCATCTCTTTCATTATTCCATTCCATCTCTTTTAATGCTACCCTCGTTCCCCCCAGTTCGTCTCTACAAGAGCAGAGCCTGCATTTTCGCCCTCGACCGCTCGAAACAAAAACATGGGCATCACAAAGCGATTATTATATTGTGGACTTCGCGGTCTGCCATTTCAGTTTCACTTTAATAGTTGGGGGTTGTATTCTCAGGCAGTTGCTCTTGGGTCATCGCAGACAACAGCTGCGTAGTTGTTGTTAGTGGATTTTTTTTTTTTTTTTTTTTTTGTGTGGTATCTTAGTAGTTCGGCTTCTTTATTTATTATTATTATTATTATTTGCAGCCCCTATGACCGTGACTGGGTGCCCATCTGTCAGGAGTAGGCTTTGGCTGCTACTTTTTTCCCCCTTTCTGTAAAGCTCGGTTCGAGGCGATAGAGCGAGCTATTGTATCTCTTGGCTGACTTATCGCCTATTGAGAATACAATAACTAACTTTTTTGCTCTGTCTGCGTGTCACTTTGAATGGCGAAAACGAGTTATCGTGCTGGTTTTAGTTTTAAGTTAATATATGAGCTTCATTTCTCTTCATACTAGAGGGTTGAAATTGCTAAGATCATCTTCATCTGCGCCAGAAATATTTACATCTGCTGAAACAGTGCTGGGATTATTCTTGTCGTGTCTGAAACTTGTCTCTCTCTCCTTTACAATTTTTGTTTTGTTTTGTATGAAGTACATTTTCATTTTTCAGTGATTATTTTGTAACTAGTCGCAATGCCAAACGTTTTTGTTCGACTTCTAAATGTACTTTTATGATAAAATAATATTAAGATATAAATAATATTTCAGATTTCTATTGAATATGAAAAACTTTATTTGTGCTGATTCTCTTTTGATTTCATTTCAGAAACATCTTATGGAAAAAATAAAATTGTTTTGCTACCTGTAGAAACTAAGTAAAGTAATTATTAATTCATGAGCATCAGGTGTCAGATAGTCATAAAAAATTCCCATTCATAATTTTTTAGAAATATTTTTTTCAAGTTTCGTGAGTTTTATTTATACCTTTTACGATATATGATCTCTTCGGGAATATAAAGGTTTCCTTTTATGTGAGTATGTGTTTATGCCAGTGTGAGTTAAAAACTGGAGGCATAGTTAAATTGGCATAGATTTTATATCAAAACCTTTCGGGGTTCTGAAGAAGAGGAATCTCTATCAGTTGTACTTAAAATCAAGATGAAATAAATTAAAAGTTTAAAATCTAAAGCCAGCGTAGATATATTTTTTCTCTTACGTTAAATTTACATCGTAAATGTAGGCGCGTGCTATATAGAATGCATGCCAGAAGGGACACATTATTTCATGATCTTTGTCATTTATAAATATATTAGTTTGTTAGTGGGGATTCAAATTTGTAAAATGGGAGATGATGATAATGAAACGGAAATTCATAATGTAACAATATAATTTAATTGATGAATTGCTTTGGGAAAAAAGGCATGACGGTAATGCTTATTTTTGAATATTGATATTTCTATATTTATCAACAAGATGTTCCTACTTTTATAATTTAAGCGTATATGCAACAGATTTAGAAATAGTACATTTAGATGAATATATACAAGTAGAATATAGTACAATAGAATGCGTATGTAATGGAGCATTGTTTGTCCTAACTCCAGTCATCCAAATTTTTTACTTAGTTTCAACGTGTAATCTGTGAATTGGGATAAATCTAAATTATAGTGAAAAGGAAATCTGCGATTCAATTGACCTCGAATATTAAATTTTAAATTGTGATGAAATCATATCGTCTATTCAGGTTGCATAAGAAATGGCGAAAGAAGGAAAACGGACTGTTGCTGAGATAATAATTCATGCTTATAAAACACTGAAGAATTAAAAGTCTTATAACATTTATGGAGTACAAAAATTGCTATGAAATGGTGCTAATGACTGAAGTAGCGAAAAGATCCCAGTTAACTACTATACCTAAAAGGAATTAAAAGAATATCTTCTTTGAAACAGAAAACATTTCTAAGTTTTTTCATTAATGATGAATTAAGAAACATTTATACTTTGGGTAATAGTTCAGTTTATGAAGTATTTTCTTCTTCCTTTCTGCATGCTTCGTGGTGTAACGGTAGCACACTCGGCGCATATTCGAGAGGTCCAGGTTCGAGACCCGGTGATGGCATTGCTTATTTTTCGTGTCTCCTGCTTCAAAATAGCCTAATGATCCTACAAGTTAAAAACTCACTTGTTCAGTAATAAATCAAATAACGTTGTTCCGTATCAACTTCGTAACAAACTGTTTTAAAAAGTTATACGATTATGCTGCAGAAAAGAAAAAAGTGGCTTTGTAGGCCGTTTTATGGGCATAGCAATCCAGCTAATTTCATTTTCCAACAGCAAGAGAGTTAAAAACCGTTGCTCCAAACAAGTATGTCCATGAGAAGTACCTTAATTTCTAAATAATATGAATAATAAAATGAATACTTTCTAATTTTCGTAAATAAAATAAATAATTTAAAAGAACAAAGTTTAATGCATTTTAATTATCGAGTAAAGTTTTATAAATGTATATTAACATTGTTTTATTAGCATGAAATCATTTCCCAGTTGATTCATGGTTAAAGATTTCACACCAGTGACCGAGTTTAAACTTAAATGTTATTATTACTAGTGAGTACTCAGTATTTACGCTCTTGCAAACATCCTTTATATCGAGAAGAATTTTTTAAATGAAAATATTCAGTATTAAACAATTAATTAATCTAAATTTGGCAGTCTTTTTTTTTTTTTTTTTTTTTTTTTTTTTTTTTTTTTTCTGCCTGTTCTGAAAAGTTCTGTCGAGCATTCCGTAGGTATTCGCTAAAGAATGTCGATGTTATGAAAATGATGCAGAAGAATCGTTGAGGTGAGAAATGTTCACGCTTATTTAATTACTTCTAAGTGATTAATTGATCTTTCAGATATTCAGGATATTTCAGTGGATGCCTTTTCTAAGCCATATCTACATCACGTTGCTCATTATTCGCATAATGGAGCTTTTAACAACACCGTTTGCTCGCAATTAACTTTTGTATTTATGTCTTTTAATTAAAATTGTCTATGTTTCTCAAGTTAGTTCAAAAAAAAAGTCTTCGCAGTTCGGGAGTTTGCTGTTAACCATACAATAGCTTTCAGAAATAGAGGGCTGGTTTCTCTTCCTTTCTTTCTACAGATCTATTGTCGCAAAAATTTAATTCGTGTTGAAATAAATCGCTTAAAACCGGTTCTGTCCAACTGTACGTGAGTATGAGGAGATGTTGGTTTGATATTTTGATGGGATTATTCCTTTTTTTAAAATGAAGTTAACGTAATGACAAGGCATTATGTTAAAATACCATTTGACTTCTTTGTTTATTGTAAGTGTGTTGTCAACGCTGAACGTGAATTCGTATTTGTATTCATCGTGTTTTGTAGTTCACAGTTATTTAGAAAGCTTCCGATTTTGTGCTTTAGAAGGTATACTTAATCTGTAATAGATATCAAATGCTTTTATGAAAAATTCCTTCATGGCATTGTGTAAGATAATTTAATTAAATTAAAAAAACCGTGAGTTGTATTTTAGTGCTATACATTTGCCTAATGTGTGTATTAAATATTTTATTTGAGACAGAAGTAGTTACACCAGCATTCAGTTAAAAAAATAAGAGCTGTTTAACTTTTATGAGGACTTTAAATTAATTAAAGTTAAAATTTGAACAATAACAGCATTTTTTTTTTTTTCCCAGCTAGGAACCAAACTGAAACATAATGTATTACTCTGTGAATTTCATAGAAGTAGCTGATATTCGAAATGTGTTCTGTCATCCGATATTCTTTTGATGTTAAATACCAACTACGAAAGAGTTGGTTGTACGAATGAATATATACAAAAAAGTTTTTTAATTCCTGTACTCTATAAATTACTATACGATTCTGAAACAGAAATTAAGTAGATAAAATTTTATAAAAATATCTTATTTGCTTAAATTAATAATGTTGTCGCGCAGTTTGATACTTATTCAATATTCTGATGGTATTTTGTTCCCTCATTTCAGATATGCACAGACTATGAAGCTGAGCGACTGTTCGTGAAATGGAAACAATTTTTGAGGGCGGGAGAAAACTGAGATCCTAAAAGGATCCAGTCCGCAATGTTTCAAAATACATATAACCAGCTAGAGGAGGAGGACGACGAGCAGGCCAAGAGGTTCTATTGCAATGAAACAGAAAGGAGGAAGAGGAAGAGGCCGGTCAAGGCAGGAAGTCAGTCCTCCTTCGTTAACGTCTTTCACACGGTCTTGTTGGTGGCGTGGGCTACCAGCATCTGTCAAGCACAACACGAAGGATCTGTCGTTGCATCGTATCGAACTTATAATGACTCTATTAATTTTACACACGTTGTTGTGGACTATCAGACAGGCCGCGTGTACGTTGGCGCCACGAATTGGCTGTATCAGTTTAACTCGAGCCTGGATGTTGAATTTAACGTGAGAACGGGACCCGTGGAGGACAGCATTCAGTGCTTCCCCACGGGCTGCTCGGATCAACAACTGTCCACAGCCAATAACGTAAACAAAGTGCTAGTCATTGACCACGAAGCGGGCATGCTGATCGCTTGTGGGAGCGTGCATCAGGGTGCATGCAGAAGGCATTCTTTGCAAGATATTGGTAACCACGAGAAACTTGTGCCTGTGCCAGTGGCAGCCAACGACGAAAACTCTTCTACTTATGCCTTTATCGGCCCCGCACGGTATTCTGGACTGCTTCCGTCGCGGGTGTTATACGTTGCAACCACGAATAGCCGGCTGGGGCCTTACAGGGACGTCGTACCGGCCATCTGCAGCCGAAGTCTCGAACCTGGCAAATTGTTCACCATCATCGAACGCTCTTTCTCGTCCATAGCACGTGTAGATGTGAGTTTTCATCTACGCGATTACTATCTGGTTAACTATGTGTATGGATTCCACTCTGGGGATTATGTTTATTACGCTACTGTACAGCGTAAGTCTCACTTGCGGGCTCTAGAAGAATGGGGTTACATTACAAGACTATCACGAATTTGTGTGTCTGACGTCGGTTATGATACATATACAGAAGTAACTTTGCAATGCATAGGCGAGGACGGAACGGACTTCAATCTTTTGCAAGATGCAAGTGTTGTTCGTGCTGCTGGCGACTTGGCGGCCGATCTTCGAGTAGATCCAGGTTCGGATGTGCTAATAGGAGTATTTGCCGCAAGTAAAGATCATACGACTCGTCCATCTGCTTATTCAGCCGTCTGTGCTTATTCTTTATCAGAAATCGAGCAAAGATTTACCGAAAATATTCATATGTGTTACAATGGAAGTGTTCTAACCAGGGATATGGATTACATTGCAGGAAGTATCAACCAATGCCCAGAGCCTGGGGTAAGTGATCTTTTATTTTCTTAAAAAGTATTGCTTTGAATTCTTGCGTTGATTCGAAATTTAAGCAGAAATATTCATTTTGCTTTTCATTAAAGTGCCTACGTGAATTCTTCCATTTACTCAAGACTACGTAGAAGAACGAATAAAAGCCTTATACTCCGCCTCCGAGTATTTACTTAAAAAAAGGCTTCTGTGCATATTTAATGTATTATTTTCTCAATCGAGCAAGTCCCGACAACATTTCTCATAATTTTACATTTTACTCTTTTAAGAAGATATATGTATTTTTTTCGTTTTGGCATTTTGTGTTGAAATGTCGGTTCACTTTTCAACTTGTTGCCACCAAATATCAGGGCCCTGTATTATATTTAAAGGTGGTGTGGTGTGGTGTATTTAATTATGGCAAAGCACACTAGGGCTATCTGCCTAAGGGGAGGGATGCCTTTCGTGGAGGACTTTCTAAGGGAAACTGGCTCGTATACACGTTACACATGGGGAAAACCACGAAAACGCCCATGCAGCCAGCCCGTTCGCGGGATTCGAACCTCGAACCGAACTACCAGTGTTCAGCGACTTTACCGCTCGGCCGCTGGTGGGCTATTATATTTAAAGAAATTAAATAATGAAGAATCTGCATAAATGTATGTATGTTTCTCGCATTACGATAAGAAAACGGTATCTAGAGCCATCCAATTTTACGTTTCCACCTGAATATCGACATCTAGACGCCCAAATTTGAAATTTGTTTTATTATCTATTTCATATTTTGAAAACCTTTAACGAATTTTTGATTAACAAACTCAGCGATTTCAAAGCGAGGAATAGCAACACTGTACGAATTTTTTTTTTTTTTTTTAAATGTCCAGCGCGCGAGACTGTGTATCGGAAATTCTTAAGATATGCTCATTTCAGATATTATTTGACGGTGTTGCTGTTGAACTGAATTTTATGGTTTAAGTGCAAAGAACATGATATTTAATAAATAGAGGTAACACAAAAAAGTTTAAAAATCTCTCCTTTGGGCGTAATGTAAAATCGGAAAGCTTCCAGATTTTTTGATATATTATAATTTCTTTTTTGTATATATACATATATTACAGGTTGAGGTTTTATCTATAAGAAGGTGGATTTAAAAGGAAGACTTATAAAATTAATGTCTGGGGAAACATGGAAAAACAGAATTTGTGAATTTAGTGCAAAAAATTACTGAACAAATTGATTATTGACTTAAAAATTTTTAGTGGAGTCTTTCTTAAACTTTCAGACCTTTCAGGCTATCGTAATGATTGCAGTTAAGTGATTTTAGCATTTTTAATGCACTTTTCATGTTATTTACCAAGTAGTCAATTTTTAGAGCATTATCATTCGACGTGACACAAATATCTTTAATTTGTCTCTAAATTATTATTGCTTAACGATCTGAGCGGTTTGCTAATAATAACTTTTCACTATTTTACTTTTCAATGTATGTCACTGATGCATTTAATTTGTAATATAGCTATGCAACTTATAATTTTCGTGAATAGTTATAACAGAATTATAACTAGTAAAAAATATTTCTAATGCCATATTTCGTTTTCAGTGCACAATAAATTCGCGTTTTAAATATTTTGCATTCCATTTAAGTGCAAAAAATTCAACAATTACGCTTTTTTCTTATGTCTAAATTTTTATTTTTCTATGGCAGTACTGTTACGTATTCTGAAATAATTTTTAATCTCAATCTAGTCTGATTTTTGCATAAATCTAAATTAATTGTCTTCATAATGTGTCTGCATAACATTCTCTTTATAGTGTCTCCACATAAAAGTATACTCTCTGCAGAAATGTATTCATCTCTTGAAAATAATGTAAAGTAGCTTTGTAAGATATCATTTCACGCGCAATTTCTCTTAAATTATTTTTCGGCTTGTGTTCTTTCGTTTAAAAGAGGAATATTCTAAACTCAGAAAACGGGCGACTTCTCAGCAGCTTGTATAGTAGCAACACGCTGAGTAGTCGTCGTTCGCGTACATAGTTCTACTGATTGCATTTTAAAAGTGCCCATTTTGTTAAGGAATTGCAGGTAAATTTGCATTTTTTTTTTTTTTTTTTTTTTTTTTTTTTTTTTTCCGTTTCCTGAATAATTGTGCATGATGCGTATCGTATGAGCTTGTTCAGTCTGGATTAAGTTACGATTGTTGGTGTTTTTGGCTGCTAGCCTTTTTCAGTCGTTCCAATCGTAAAAAAGCAAAAAAAAATCTCATTGAAAAAAAAAAAAAATTAAAAAAAAAAAGGCATTGACTTGCTATTTGTGACGCTATTGGTAGCCATTCTTCGCAAAGAATAAGATTCCGCGCGAACTTTGTAATCTCAGTCATGCGAAAAGTAAACAACATATCACTTAAATTCTTAATATTTTAAAATTTATTGTTTTATATTGTTTTTGGAATACTTATAAAAACTATATATTCATTATAAGAAACTATACCATATCCATGAAAAGTACAGGGCTTGGACAAAATTATAGAAACACCGAAATAAAAGCATGTTGCTGTGGCTAATATGGTGTAGGAAAACTGTTGGCATTCAAAACAGCGTGCAGTCTTGTCGGAATGGATAAATAGAGTTCTTGTATGCTTTGCATTTGCAAGTTCAATTAACGACGATGGCGGTGGATAGCGCTCACGCAGATTTATCTCCAAAATAGCCTACAAAGGGTCAATAATATTGATATCTCGTGAGTATGGTGGCCGTGGTAGATGTGAAGGTTCATCTTTATGCTCAGAAAACCAGTCCTGGACGATTTGAACTGAGTAAACAGGAGTTCTGTAGTCTTGGAATACGGCATCAACATTGGGGAACAAAATTTGTACCATGGAATGGACGTGATCATCCAGAATGGTCACATATTCCTTGGTAGTATTGTGACCTTGCACAGTAATGATGGGTCCCATGGAATACCACGATATGGCTACCCAAACCATGACCGAAACTCCGCCATGTTTTGCTCTCGGCTGCAAATAGTCTCTATCATACGCTTGGGATGGCGTTCGCCAAACGTAAACTCGCCCCAAAGTCTGGAAAATCATCCGACCAAATGACAATTTTCCATTGCTCTATAGTCCAGGTTTTATGACTATGGTCCGACTTTCTCCTCTTTTAGGCATTTTAATCATTGATGAGCGGTTTTTGAATTGCAGCTCGCCCAAAAATACCCTGCTTTTTTGGTGCTGACAGGGTTTTGCAAGTGCGACATTCAGTCCAGCAGTCACTTTTGCGGCTATAGTTCTCTTATTTTCCGTCACAATCCTCTTCAATGATCATCTATCATCACTCAGTACATATTTTCGTCCGCGCTGTGATTTAGCGGATGGTGATTTTCAGCTTTTCCTGTATGAGTTAAAAATCGTAGATACTGTGCGTTTTGAAACACCACATACTTCAGCTGGCTTGGTTACGGACACACCCACCTAACGAGCCCAACAATTTGCCACCGTTCGAATTCATTCAGCTCTGACATGATGCACTCACAGCTGTACAGAAGACTGTCTCGATAACGAATGACCCTTGCAACGCATTGAGGATGTTATGCAGGTGGCGTTAGTAAGCAAACACATCAGCACCACCAACAGCTTTTGAAAAATAAACATTTCAGTTCAAACATGCATTTTACGAGGTGAGTAGTAACCGCAGGTAACCGCGCTACGGAAGTGACGTCATAGAAAAGGGGCGTGGCTTGGATCACGTGACCGGAAGTGCCGCCATGTTGTCGAGTGGAGTTGAGTGGTTTCGAAGTGGATGTGTTTGCTTGAAAGTGGAAGTAGGAGTGAATAGAAATTTCAGAATTTAAGTTTTTTTGGAAGTTTCATTTTTATTGTGTGGCATCGACACTATTTTTTATGTTTATGGCAACGAACTCTTGAACTACGTGTTTGGAATGACATCACTTTTAATTTATTATTTTTAATTATTTGACATGTGATTAATCTTATTTTGTTATTTGATTAATTTTAATACGTCATTAATTTAACTTTTTAATTATTAACTTATTTAGTACATCATTATTTACTTATTACCTTTAATTAATTTGAATTTTTGTGGAAATTAATATTATTTTCCCTGAATTTTAAAAGTAACTCCACCGCTGGGATTCGAACTCGCTATCTCTGGGATGGGAGTCTAGCGCTTTACCGCTCGGCTACCCTGTCCTCTTATCAGACTTGTTATTTGAAACCTCTTTGTCCCTTTGAGTTTTTGCACCATTGATGACATAAGGCTGAAAGTCTGCGCATGCGCTTTGACATGAAAACCGCGTCACACATTTGTTTTTTTTACACGACGGCTAGGATTTCTTTTGGCTTCTTAATCATTACTTTATTCATTGCTGTTTTTAAATGTAAGATTTTCCCACGGTTTAATTTTTTTTATTATTAAGATATTTTTAATTGTTTTCAATTTTCATCTCATTCTTACTTTTTTTAAGTTATTAGTTAATTTATTAATTTTTATTTTATTTTTTCCCTTTCCCAAACATAAATTTTATTTTTAACTTCAACAAAAGTGAATTTAAATTTTCTTTTTACTTTTTATCTTGCAAAGTTTATTTTTTTTTTATATTTAATTTTCTTTTTGGTTTTACAAAAGTAATATTTATTTTTACGAATTGAATTTTTCCTTTTCACTTTTTTATTTTGCAAAAGTTTTTTTTTTTTTTTTTTCAAAATTTTTTTCCTTTTTGTATTTTTTACTTTATTTTAATTTTTTGTTTAACTTTTCTTTTTGGTTTTACAAAAGTAATATTTTTATTTACGAATTGAATTTTTCTTTTTCACTTTTTTATTTTGCAAAAGTTTTTTTTTTTTTCCCAAAATTTATTCCTTTTCGTATTTTTACTTTACTTTATTTTAATTTTTTGTTTAAACTTTTTTTTTTTTTGGTTTTACAAAAGAAATATTTATTTTTCCAAATTTAATTTTCCTTTCCGCTTTTTATTTTAAAAAAAGTTGTTACTACATTTTTAACTTAATTTTTTTTACAAAAGT